AGAAAGGGCCTTCCGCCGCGCGCCCGGCCGCCCAGGCCCCTCAGCTGGTAAATCCCAAGTTTCACACAGGAGCAGCAGCAGAATCCTGCAGACCTTCAGGCGTTACAGAGAAATCGGGATAAGAAGAAGAAAAGCAGGAGATGAAGCTGCTTCTCCCTCATCTCAGACGATTGGTTACAGGGAGCCGGGCTTGCCGGGTATTCTCGTTTCCTCTGCCATAGGATCGTTTGGGCACCTGCAAGCAGTGGAAGAGGCTACTTGATGCGGCCACAATTAGGCTGGTTTGCAAGGGAAAAACCCACTTCTCCTTTCTGAAGCAGCAGCCTCGGGCAGGGCGCTGGATGGCGAGCCCACGGGTCCATGGAAACGCTCCCGGGCGTGTTTTCCGGTGCTGGAGCAGGCGGCAGCTTCAAGCAGACACGTCTGATCTTTTGGGGCAGAAAAGGGTGTCAAGCAGGGTGCTGCAAAGGCAGATTTCTGTAGAGGGGGACATCCCCCCCTTCCTTATCTCCTACAAGTAGATAATTACCCTTCTCTGGCTAATTTAACATGCGGATCCCTCATCTGAAATAACGAGGCCATTATGGTGCTCTCCCGGCGGGAAACCGCTCCGAGCCAGCGGTAGGGAACTACCTGTGCGCCAGGTGGAGGGGAAGGAGAAGAAGGGAAGGAAAAAGGAAGACAACAAAAGTACAAAACGGCTCTTAGCGGGGGACGTTGAGTGGCAGCGCGAGCAGAGGTTTACGTCGCGCGGCAGCGTTTCCTCGTAGCTCCAGGGGTAACGGATCCGTCTAAGAGGGGAGCGTTGTTTTTGCCTCCGGTGCCGGGAGGAGAGCCCGGCTCTCGCCTGGGCTGCCAGCTGCAGCCGCGGCCCCTCCGCGCGTCAAAGGGCCGATTGAGGCGCCGGGAGCAGGTGGGAAGGCCGGGAAGGGCTCCGTTGGCTGCCCTGGGAGCTGCCGTATCCCTGAAGGGGAGGCGGTGAGCGCTCCGCGCGCCCTCGCAGCCGCTTTTGGAGCCGGGCAGTCCAGCGTTCGGCCTCCTCGGGAGGCGACAGCTGTGGGGGCCGTGCCGGCGAGGGCGACAGCGGTGCCGCTTCCCGTTGGGAAAGGGGCAAAGATGTGCGTGGAGAGCGGAGGCGCCGCACTCTGGCAGCGCCTGGGGAGCGGGAGCAGGCGCTCCGCTCCTGAGCGGCGTCTCCGCTTGGCGCCCTCTTGGAAGCGGGATGCTTCCCGGCACGCTCGCACTCGGACCGTCCGGCGGAGCAGCCGGCGGCGCCCTTTCCCGGACGGTGCCGCGGCCCATGCGGGATTCTTGCAGCAGCAGCAGAGCTTGCGCCGTCGGCGCTCGGTGACTGTAACCGCTCAGAGGTGACGGGCGGCAGGAAGAGAGCCAAGCCGCCGGGAACTAAACCGGCGGGATGGCCCTGCCGTGCCTCGGCGCGGAGGCAGCCTCAGCCGTGCCGAGGGGGACGCCGGTTCCCACCATCTCCCCCAAATGGGGGCCCCTCCTGGCACCCCCGTCGCATGGCGCTTTCTTGCGTCACTGTGGACATGTTGCGTGACGTTTTTAGGGTCCGAGTTGTCTTTTCAGGCAGATGGGCTCTTCTGGGCTTGGCCAGCGGTGGATTGACCTTTCCTGGGCATCTCCCGTTCAGTGGGAATTTTGCCGCGGGAGTCGGAAGCCAGAAGAGCCAGATGGGCACCTCCGGGGGGATTTCTCCTGGGGAGCAGAGAGCTAAATCCATGCCTTGCTTGTTCCACCGCTCTGCTCCCAGCGGGATCCCAAGCAAACCCAGCCATTCCGGCCTTGGGGATGCGCTTCCTGCAGCACAAAGACAACCCTGGGGAGGCCACTGAGAAAGTCCTTGGGCCCTTGACGTGTCCTTGTGTCCCATCACATCTGGGCTTCGCAGCAGGGCACAAAGTGGTGGCCTCGGCAAAGGGATGACGCGGGAGGCAGAGGCTGGTCCCGGTCTCCAGCCCTTGTGGAGGAAACGGGGCTGACATGATCCGTGGGAAGAGGTGCCTGAGGTCCAGGTTGCGCTGAGCCCAACTCGTGCCATGGAGCACCCAGGGCTCGAGGTGGTGGCGCCCACTGCTCCCTGGCTATGTGCAGCCCCCGGTGCCTCCTGCTTCCGAAGGGGAGGACAGAGCAGGACCAGGTTGGCCGCGAGCCCGAGGACATTCCTGGTGAGCCAGCCTGCAGGGAGAGCCTCGGAACCTCCCACGCGCGTCCCCATGAGGAGGCGGCCGCGGCGGCTCAGCTCGCGCCTGGCGCCGTGCCCGGCGGGCCGGGCTGCGCGTATGTGGTGGGCCGGGGCGGCGCGGGCTCGGAGGGCCCTGCTCCGTCAGGCCATGTCCTCGGGAGCGTTTCCCTCCCGCTCCTGCACGGCCACGTCGGTCCTAGCTGCTCTTTTCATCCCGCTATCCAAATGGGACATTTATTTCTAGTTTCCACACGGAGCGGCTGGACTCACCAGCATTTGATTTCCTTTGCCTAATGTTGTCCTTGACTTTCCTATCCAATATTTGCATTGCTGAAGAATAAACACCGTTGCAGAAGGCTGGAAGCTTTTTATATATCTGTTCATTTTATTCTCCCTCCATCTTTGCTGGCGTGTTTTCCTCCTCCCGGAGGTGGTCACCAGCCCAGGTCACAGCGACGGGCAGTGGCTTCCTGGCATGAAACCGTTGGGGAGGTCAGTTGTGTTTAGTGCTGCAGAGGGGAGACGGCATCAAGGAAACCCTCAGGGGTGCAGGAGGAGTGGGCTGAGCCGCAGGATGCCATCCCTTGGGAATGGGTGTCCCAGCATGCAGTAATGGACTTGTCTGGTGTTTGTTAGCGGGTGAGAAGAGGCCCGAGCCTTGCCGAGCTCCCTCGTCTCTCTGTTCTCCCCTCAGATGGCGAGAGGCTGGAGGGGGGGGGAGACGCAGGCCGGCGGGCGCCGGCCGCCCCGGCGCGGCACGGCAAGGCAGAGGAGTCCAGCGAGAGCCGCGAGGAGGAGCAGGTAGCGTGGGGACACGGAGCCGCCCCGAGCCTCATCCAGCGCGCCCCCCCGGAGCTCCATCCAGCCCTCGCAGCTAGGGACGCGACCGGGTAGCTGCAGAGGTGCTGCTTGGCCGAGCCGAGCCCCCTGCTCTGTCCTCTGCTCCTTGGTGGCCTCCACAGCTGTAGCTCCGCTTTGCCGGCGTCTTTGCCGAGCTGCGGAGCCCCGCTCTGGAAGCGACGGCCCCAGCTTGGCTGTGCTAGAGCCACGCGGAGGGCACCAGCCCCCTCGTCGGCCTGTGCAAAGTCCGGCCAGATTAAAGCAGCTGCTGGCTCTTGTGCTCAGGTCTCCTCTGTCCCTGCCCCTCGCGAGGGGCTGGCACGGGGGAGGCTGAAGGAGGACACGGAGCTCCCCTGTGGTAGCCACGTGGTGTCCCTGCCCTCTCCTGAGCAGCGAGGTGCTGCCAGGCTGTGTCCTTGGTGGCCCGTTGCCATCATTGCTGCGCAGTGTCCAGAGGAGCTTTGTGCCCGTCTCTGCCTGCCCCATGACCGCGGCGGCCGGCAGAGATCTGCAGCGCCGCTGCCTCTTGGCTTAAATGCCCCGTTGGTGGCCGCCTTCAGCGGGTGCCGTATCTCAAGGCCGCTCTGTAATTACCGCTTGGTTTTCCAGGTCAGAGAAGGAAGCCTTCCTTGGAGCAGTCGCAGCTCAATTAGGCCGCCTCCCTAATAACGTCTTCCAAGGGCATCGCTCCCCTCCTCTGGGACGTTAATGAGCTGGTTTAGGCAGAGGTTGCTAATTGTTTCCCCGTTGCCGCGCATCCTAACGGGCCGCGTTTTGTCGATGCCGCTTTGAAGCCTGACCTGGTGTCACCCGGGTGCTCCCTCTCCTCTCCCCTTTTGCCTTCCCCCACGGGCAGAGTGTCCAGAGTGACAGTCGGGTTAAGTTTGTGTTGCAGCTCTTTGCTGACTTGGATCCCTCTTGTCTGGGCAGGCTGTTGCCAGAAAACCTGTAGGGTTGGATGGTTTTTGAGAGATTTGTCCATCAGTCGATTCCAGAGCAAACCCGAGTCAGTGAGAGGTGGCCATGAAAGACTGTGTTATCACCCAAGCTTCCATCCTTTGGGAAACAGAGCCCCAAATATTTATTTAGTTTTCTGAAGCCCATGGCAAAAGACAGGCATTTTGGGTGAACAGAAAGTGTTCTGTTTAGGAGAAGGAGCACTTTTCAGCAGAGGAAGGGAAACAAGTTTGGCTGGAACATTTTGAAACTCTACTCCCTGGGATGCCTTGCCAGTATTTTTCTGCCTCTTCGTGCCAGGGTTGCCCTGTCTGGCCTCGCAGGTAGCCCCACGAGCTCCTGGCTCCGTCGGAAAGGCCTTTCCCTGCCCTTGCCGGGATGGGGTGGGAGGTGGGATCTGTCCTGGGAGTGTGGAGGGACAAGGAGGTGGCTGCCGGCTCCAGTGCCAGCTGTGATCCCGGACGGGAGACGGAGAGACACCTCCTGCAATCCCATCTGCTTGACACATTGCTTCCCCCAAGGCTCACGATTCCCTCCTTGGATTCATCTCCGGGCAGGATTTCTCCCTGCGACAGCACGGAAATCTCTGGGCAGAGCAGGCAAACAGCTCCCTGGCGCCATGGGTCAATGCCTTGGATCGCCGTCTGGAGAAGGGAATGGCTTGTGCCACGGGCTGGTCTGGGGTGCGTTGGTCCCCGTTCCCTGTTGCTCATCTCCCTTCCTGCTTGCTTGGCAGGGTGACGGGCAGGACTCCGATGACTGGTTCTCCAGAGGCCGGCGGTCCGAGCGAGCCGCCGGGCGTCCCAAACTCAACCTGACCAAGCAGGCGTTGCCTTGGAGCGACCAGGTGAGCCCGGGAGGGCGACGTGGGAACAGGGAGCAGCGAGGGCTTGGAGGCGGTGAGGGTGGTCCTGGGAGGAGGCTGCTTGGGAGCACAAGGTTCTGCCAATGCCTTGAGCCCCTCTGAGCCGTCCCAGCGCCACGTCGTGGGAAGCACATCCCTCAGCCTGCTCACGGGGACAGGCCTGGAAAGGCCGCTCGGGAAGCTGCCCCATGAGCCGGGGCCCAGGCTGAGCCATCCCCATGCCTCGCCGCTCTGCTCTCGTCCTGCAGTACAAGGGCAGGGCCAACCTGCACGTCTTTGAGGACTGGTGCGGAGGGGCAGTGAGGCACCTCAGGAAGAACCTCCACTTCCCGCTCTTTCCCCACGTGAGTCCCACTGGCCGTGGCGGGCACCTTTGCCCGCATCTCAGGGTCTGTTTGGGGGCGAGTAGATTCCAGATGGGCTCCTGAGCGGAGCAGGAGGGGAGCAGAGGGTGGTGGCGGGACCCCCACGGGCACCAGGGGCACAGGGCCAAGGATGGGCGAGACGGAGACGGGCTGGGTGACGTTGCTGCCAGGGCTGGGCAACGTTCCTGCTTTCCCACCTCTCCAGGCCCGCACCACGGTGAAAAAGCTGGCTGTGGCACCCAAGTGGAAGAACTATGGGCTGCGGATTTTTGGCTACATCCACCCCTTTAAGGATGGTGAGTGGCTGAGCTCTGCCTCATCAAAGGCTGCCTCCTTCACCCTCCTTGGACCACGCAAGGTCAAGAAGGGTGTTGGAGAAGCGGGGAGTCCCTTGCACCACCGAGGATCCTCAAGATTTCCGGGAGCTGGGATCCTTTTCCTTGGATGCTTCAAGTAAAGAAGCAGCTCCAGCCCTGTCTAGGTTGGAGCCCTGTCCTGTCGATCCGTCCCTGGGGTTTCCCCGGATCATGAGGAGATGCCATCCCCTTGAGACACGCAGCGCAGGCCAGCGGGGCCGCTTTGTCCCTGCCCGCTGATGTTCTGCTTTGCCCTCCCCAGGGGACTTCCAGTTTTCTGTGGCATCTGACGACAACTCGGAGTTCTGGCTTAGCTCCGATGAGAGTCCATCCAACTCACGCCTGGCTGCCTTCGTGGGCAAGGTACCGCAATCCCGTGGCGCGCTTTCCCACCGGTGTCCTGTTGGGATCCGGCTGTTCCTGCCTGCGCTCCCCCGCGTGCTCTCACGCGCTGCCTCTGCCTTCCTGCAGCTGGGCACCGAGTGGACGGCCCCGGGAGAGTTCACCAAGTTCCGCTCCCAAGTGTCCAAGCCGCTGCAGTAAGTGCGTCCCTGTGCTGGGCTCGGCGACGGGGTGCAGCAGCGGTCACTTCGGCACTGATTTCTGAGCAGCCTCTTCCCCTCCTTGGCAGCCTCATGTCGTCCAGGCGCTACTACTTTGAGCTGCTCCACAAGCAAGATGACCGGGGTTCGGACCACGTGGAAGTTGGCGTGAGTAAATGCCCGGGCTTTGGCTGCGGATCAAATCCCACCAGGAGCAGCGGAGGGAGGAGGAGGGGTCCCCTGCAGGCTCCTTCTGGGCTTCCCAGAGGAGCCCGGCGCTGAGGGCAGACAGAAGGGTCTCGGCCAGGGCACCGTCCGTGCGTGTTGCTCCCGAGCTGTGATCCTGCCTCTTCCTTTCCAGCCCATGTTGCAGATTCAGCCCTGGGAGAGACGGGCAGAAAGCGGGTGGCTCCCTGCTTCCTTTATTTTTTTCCACCTTTGAAATACCAGGAGCATCAAATCTGAACTTGCCTGTCTTGGCTGCGCAGCCCTGGCAAGGCCCGCAGCGTGTGTCATGGGAGCTCGGGCTTTCTTCGGCAGGGGAAGACGTTGGCTCTTGAGCAAAGGCTTCCTTGCTCCCAAACAGTCATTAATCACTGGAGTCCAACTTGTGCCAGCAAAGCGTGGGGGAGCAGGCAACACCCCTTCCTCGCCTTCCTCCTCCTCGGCGCTCAGCTTCGCCCTCCCAGGGCTCCGTGTTGGAGCATCCAGCACAGATTAAGATCTGAATTTTTAATGCAAAAAACAAACAGATGGGGGAGATGTTTTTGGCTGGAGGGAGGGAAGCCTCTCAGATGTTCTTAAGCAACAACAACAAAAAGAGGAGGACCCTAATGCATCTTTCCCTGTGGGTATCTAAAGGCTTGTCTGGACAAGGGCTCATCCATCTCCAGGCAAGCTTTTAAGACGTCTGGAGTCAAATCAGTGCAGAGAGCTATGAAGAACCCCCTTCAGTCAGCGCTAACGTGTTTGTGCCGCAGCCAGGGCGATGCGGGACATGGGTGCCGTAGGGCTCCGTGCAGGACAGGCTTTGGATGCGGTTCCCGCTGGTGCTGGGGAGGACCTGGCCTAGGGTGCCTAGGGGAGGGCAGCTACATCCTGCGCCTTGGCACTGATTTTCCCATCTCCCCCCCTCTCTTCTAGTGGCGAGTTTTCCTCCCCAGCTTGAAGTTCGAAGTGATCGACTCCTCCTACATTTCTCTTTACACAGGTGAGACCAGAGCCGCGCACACACTCCCATGCGCGTTGCTCCAAGGTGCCGTGTGTGTCAGTGCAGCCGGGCAGCTCCCAGAGCAGAGCTGGGGAAGGAAACCAAGCCCTGAGCGCAGCCCCTGGCCACCACGGCAGCCTTCCCCCTGCTCCTGAGGCTCCAGAGCTGCTCCTCAGCAAGCTGCTTGGCTCCGTGCCCCGGCCCTGAGTTATGCGGAGCTGTCGTCCAAGTGGGGATGGATGGCGCGGGCTTTAATTAAATCTATAGATCTTCTGCTTCCTGCCCATTTCCTGGCCTGGCAGCAAAAAACATTTGATAGATGGGAGCTGCCCCAGGGCTCACTACGCGCGAGGACCGGTCATTAAGCATGGCCTGGAAGGCGTCGCTGAGGTGGCAGGGGACATGCAGCACGCAGGAATCAGTGGGCAGCAGAGAGACGGGGCCGGTGTGGAGGGCCTGAGGTATTGGCGCGGGTGCCCAGGAGATGGATGAGGTGCAGGTATATTTCCCCCCGACACTCTCCGTCAGTGCCTGCTCTCTTCTGCTTCCCTCGGACGCCAGCAGTGTCCCGGGATGGAGCCAAGTCCCCAGGGTGTGGCAGGTGATGGCCCCAGGACTCGGATGCAAGCGGCAAAAGCCCCTGGCCTGGGGAATGGGCCACAGGGAGGGAGCAGGGCACGTGGTGGTGGCCTCAGCCTCTGCTCTCGCCTCCTGCAGACGAGTCGTCCCTGAAGATGAACCACGTGGAGCACATCCCGCAGTCCCTGGCCAGCCACAGCGGGAGCCACCTCTGGGAGGCGCAGCGGGATGAGCACGGCGCCGACATGCTCAAGACGGACCCCAGGGACACCTTCTTCCTCAGTAAGTGGTGCTGGAGCATCCTCAGGCCGAGACTCTAAAGCTGGGGGGCACTGGGAGGCGTCAGACGCCGACTGGTCGGGGGGCTGTGCGCGCGGGCTCGGGGCTGAGCCGCGGCTTCCTCTGCTCAGCCCCGGCCATAGAGGCCTCCCGCGTGCAGAACGTGCTGGTGCCCTGTGCCTACAGCCCCACCTACGTGGTGAAGGACTTCCCCATCGCCCGCTACCAGGGCCTGCAGTTCGTAAGTGTCCCCCGGCTGCGGCCCCGCTCCTCTTCCTCGGGGCAAGCCCGGCGCGCCGCTCGGCTGACGGGCGTCGTGGCCGCCCCGGCAGGTCTACCTCTCGTTTGTGTACCCCAACGACTTCACGCGCCTCACCCACATGGAGACGGAGAACAAGTGCTTCTACCGGGAGTCTCCCCTCTACCTGGAGAAGTATGTGCTGGGGGTGTGTTCGGCAGCGCTGCGCGGAGCGGCGAGTCCAGCACATCGGAGCTGGCAGAGCCAGGCGTGGGCAGCTGCGCCGGGTGCTTCCCCCAGCCCGTGCACACTTGGGACCTTGGTGTGTCCCCGTGCGCGCAGCAAGCCTGTGGGTGCAGCCCTTGCTTATCTCAGGGAGCCCATCTCTGCCTTCTGTTGCCCAGGTTCGGTTTCTACAAGTACATGAAGATGGATGAAGAGGAGGAGGATCCTCGCCAGCGAGCGTTTCTCTTCTTCAACGCAGACAGTGAGTCACGCTTGCAGCTCTCGGGCATCTCTCAGCAGCTTGGCAGGGGACAGAGGGCCCGGCACCCCCGCCGCAGTTGTCCTCACTGCGCGGCTCAGCTGCGGCGTGGTTGCGAGCAGAGCTGGTGGGCGGCAGCGCCGCGGTGCCCCGGGGCCGAGCTCGAGGGCTCCGTGCGGATGGGGGGCTCGCGGGGAGCGGGAGCAGCCAGGCAGTTCTCCGCTGTCGGCTCACAGCTGAGCGAGGCCATCGCCCAGACAGGCTACACGTGTTCCCAGGTGGAAGAGGAGCAGTGTCAGGGTAGCCAGTAGCCAAGGCTGGACCCACTTGCTGGAGCCTCTCGTTGCCATCCCGGGCGGCAGGTGGATCCTGACAGCTTTGAGCCCCTGTCACCTGGGGGCAGGTTGCAGGTCGATGTCCCCAGCGAGGTGCAGACAGGCTTTGCCAAGCTGCCTCGGGCCAGGGTGCTGCGGCGCTGTCCGCGCTGCACAGCTGAGGTCGCGGGGGATCCACTTCCGCCTTGGCTTCCCAGGTTTCCTGGATGAGGAGGAGGAGGAGGAGGAGGAGGGAGTTGACAGTCCTGAGCCCACAGAGCCAGCGCCCGCAACGAAGGAGAGGAGCCTTGGGCTGCTGCCTGGAGCCAGGAGCAAA